CTTGTTTTGAATCTATCTCTCTTATTTTCTATTTATTGGTTAGGAAGAAAACATAAGCTTAATGAATGAAATAAATTCATGTGATGTCATAGTCACAAAATAATAATAACCACGTGTTTCTATCCAATCAGTTTAAAAACTCGTGTGACGTCATAGTCACACAATAAAAGCAATCGTGTGTTTTCAGTTAATCAGTTCTTGCGCTCGTTGTTACCAACTTTTGCTCTTTGCAGACACTTTCACTAAAAAAGTCCATATTTGTCAACAATAATAACGCGCTCAGGTATACAAAATGCATTTTATTTAAAAGTACATGCATGAATTAAATTTGTTTTTTAATTTGAATTATTTTTTTTGAAGAAATTTTTTGTTTCATTTGAACATCAGTACATAATTCTGGAACTTGACATGTTACCTAAGTTTTACAAATAGAATAACCAGTACAATTTGTTTGATGTCTGGTTTGAATTCAATGGAGAACACGTGTTTCAATTTATTATGTGACCGTCATGAATTGAGTCCATTGGACAATGAATAAAATTTTTCCACTACAGCAACGTAAAACTTTAAATTAAATAATTAAATTTATAAAAAATCTTTAATATTTATTTTATTTAAAATATTCAAGGATTGGTAACAAGTCGTAAGTACAATACGAATATAAGTCAAAAATGTGTCTTTTCAACCCCACAGGAGAATAAAGAAATAGTGGATAACTAAATTTTAATTGATTTCTTCATATCCAACCAGTTATTAAAATTTTTCTTATGATCTTTATTTTTCTGAAAACTACCTCACGTACAGAGCTTTCATTTGGGTTAGGACAGCCAAAAGGACAACTTGAAAAAGTAATCAAAAAGAGAAATCACGAAACATTACAAACTGGTTAATTCTATAAACTTGCAGGTGAAATCTTTATTTCAGGGACATGCTCTAGACACCACATCTTAACAAGCAAGAGTATGATATTTTAAATTGTTCTTCAAATCGTGCTTCACTTTTGATGTTAATAATGAGTGAAAGAACAACACTTAAAATAAAGTTTAACCCCAATAGATTGAAGAGATGGATTTTTTCTTCCAACTAGATCGTTACTGAGTTGAATACCACTTGTATAAAAGGACGGGATTACCACCTGAGCCACTTGATGCAGGTAATCAAGATTGACCAAGGTGATTATTGTAACAGAGTATCCCTTTTAATGATCAATCAAGGATCTATTTCTCAAGAGCTACAACAAAGGTTGATCATTTTGGCTTTTCAGTGAAGGTTTCGTCTTCTTGACATATATATCGCTCGAAGATAAAAGAAGGAAACGTGGTTTGATAAATGGCGTTTTATGCATACATTTAGGTAATCTAAGATATTTTGTGACCTTTTAAGCTGTGTTTGAGTGTGGTAAATATTTAAGCTCTAAAGAAATGCTTCAAGGCTTCTGTATTTTACTTTCGCTGAATTTACAGAACATTTTAGTTTTAATAGCCAGAGAAGATGTATGAAATTCCAAGGAAGAATTTTATCAAGAAATTTTTTTTAATGAGTCATAGAAAAGTTTTCAATCTGTTAGGGTTTACTGATGGGTCAGGGTAAAATTTTAATAAATTCGGTTTGTTTCAATGCGAGTGTTTAGAGGAAAATGAAAAGCAAAATTAAAATCTCGCATCAATATATATATATATAGATGTCAATTGATTTTACCCACTTAAATCTTTGATTCTTTTTTATCGACAATTAGTTTATTTCATTGTGGTTAACACTCTTTAAAACAACTATTTCTATACGTATAATGCTTCAAAATAAAAAAAAATGTAACATACTCACGCAAATACGCACACACATATGCACGCACGTACATACTCACAAACATATTCACGCACGCACGTGCACTCTCTCACACACACTAATACGCACGCACGCACGTGCGTTTTTGTCCTAAATTACGGTTGTTCTGTGATCAGCTGATATGTAAGCAAACCAATCCCCTTTTTCTTTAAGAATATTCAAAACATACGCAAAAGTATACGGTATATATAACGTATAAAATACTTTTGGATACTAATTCCCTAACTGACCTTGTTCTTGTCCTTCAAATCAGATTTGTAGCCGTGGTAGCCTAGTAACCAAGGTGTCGGATCGTGGCTGGCTTGTCACGAGTACGAGCTCAGTACCACTGAAGACTTGCCGTGTAGGGTAGCGATGCACATTAAATCTGTCGAGAGCTCAAACGTCTTCCCGTTGGTGTGGTGTGGTAGTTAGGAGAGTGGAGTGCCAGCTTAGGTGTCATCCTCGTCACATGAACATGGTTCAAAATGACGAGGTCCATCGCCAAAATCCCTCAAGTAGCTGAACAGTGGGACGTTAATATTCACTCACTCAAATCAGATTTTTCATGACTTTTTAGTAACTTCAAAAATTTCTAGATGATTTTAAATTTTTATGACTATTACTTGAATTATGAATTTAATTTTTTTAAATTTTTGGGGAAAGCTTAACTAAAAGACGACTCTGAAGCATATCTATACGTACTTAAATTTCATAAACCATTCTGATATATTAAGTGATAAAGGATTGAATAAATCAATTAGGTGCAGGCTATGTTATTAAGAAGAAAAAAATAACAAATTCATTTTATTTAAACACACGGCGGTCTTAACTCTCATTGTACAAGCTATACAACAGTTCATACTCATTGCTCAATTTTCAGATACGTATTTATAATGCAATGTTGTGTTAAATTCTGAGATTGAAATAGTTGAATGAACTGAAAATTGTGCCTTATTGCCTTTTTGTAACCATAATATATTGAACAGGACTTTTTTTTTGTTGCCTTTTTCAATTACTACTCTATAAGTTCACTCTCTCCCTATATATATATACTCGGTACATAGTATACACCTCTTAGTACATAGTATAACAAATTACAGGTGAAGGTTGGCCGGCCCCAAAACATGTTTAAACCTGCAATCCTGGTTCCTAAGGCCAGGAGTTTGTCATTATACTACTGTGCCTTCTTCCTAATTATAGTTATCTTAGGTTTATAACTATCTGTTTATTTTTATATTTTCGTTTATATATTTGTATATATATATATGTATATACACTGCTCAAAACAATTAAAGGATATTGTAAGTTTTATATAAAATAAAGATATAAGCGAAATTTTTTTTGGCCGAAAATGGAAGAAGAGAATCACAAATGCAAATTTTTCTGATTTTCAAACTGTGGAGTATGCTAATTTTGAGTTCGACATCAAAAACGTCGCTTCAGCGGCAGCGAATGAAATGTGACTTTCAACTGAAATGAAGACAAGGATGATCGGCATTCAGTGACTGCTTTGTTTCGATGAGTACGATGTCTCAGCGAAGTCATTTAACCGATTCAGAAGCTTGGAGAGTTGTAGTTAGGTTAGAAGGGGGCCAAACTCAAGCCGAAGTAGCGCAAGCCATTGGAGTGTCACAAAGTGTGATTTCCAGGATCTGGAACCGTTTTTTGGAGACTGGAAGTGCAGGCCGAAGACCAAGACAAGGTCGTAGACGGGCAACAACGCCCAATGAAGATCGTTATTTAGTGTTAACGGCTCGGAGACACCGAAATATGAATGCTACTCTTCTCCAACAACACCTTCGCTCGGCTACTGGCACCACGGTTTCAACTCAGACTGTCCGAAACCGGCTCCATGGTGTAGGTCTGTATGCTCGCCAACCGATGGTATGTGTTAGACTAACATCAAGGCATCGTCGAGACCGCAGGGAGTGGGCAACAGAGCATGTGAACTGGAGGAGAAATGAATGGAGCAATGTTCTTTTTCCTGACGAGTCCCGTTTTTCTGTTCATCCGAATAATAGGCGTATTTTCATCTGGAGGGAGTGTGGCAGTAGGAATAATCCTGCGTCCGTGCACGAAAGTGTCAGATTTGGCGTTGGGGGAGTGTTGGTGTATGGTAGCATATCCATTGACTAGGCGCACAGACCTCAACATCATTCGAGATGGTCCTCTGACTGATCGCCGATATAGGGATGAGATCCTCAGACCTATTGTAGTCCCTTACGCTGCAGCAATCGGAGATGACTTCATTTTAATGGACGATAACTGCAGGCCATATCGTGCTAACCTGGTGGAGGATTTCCTTTTCGAGGAAGGAATCGTACGAATGAAATGGCCTGCGAGTTCTCCAGACATGAATCCAATAGAGCACGTTTGGGACGCTCTAGGAAGATGAGTTGCTGGCCACCAACCACCCCCACAAACTCTCCAAGAACTGGAAAGAGCTCTTCTGGAAGAGTGGGATAGAATACCCCAACTCGTGATTAATAGCCTCATTGACTCCATGCCTCAAATGTGCTCAGCGTTGCTGGCCGTCCGTGGAAACCATACCCCCTACTGAAAATGATTTCCTTTGAAGAAAACACCTTTTCTTATTCTTTTTTTCTCATATGCACAAATTGTGTTTTTTTCCTTTTGTACACAAATGCGCAATAAAATGCATTTTTTCTGCCAAACATGTGTAATTTATTCTCATATAACCTACTACGTCTGTCGACCATGTATCAATCAGCTAAAAAGTTTCCCAGCCACAAGATCCACCTAAAAGCGCAATATCCTTTAATTATTTTGAGCAGTATATATATATATATATATACATATATATATATATATATGTTTATATATTAGATTTTTATCTTGGATTATATATATATATATATGTTTATATATTGGATTTTTATATACATATATATATATATATATGTATATATATATATATCTATCTATATATATATATATATATATATACATAATATATCTTGTTATAATTTCAATTGTTAATTAAATACTTTCTATTCATCCATTAAAGTTCAAATACATTGAGATACAGAGGATGATACTTGATGTTAATACAGTTTTTTCAAATATTAATTCATTAATAAAATTATAAAATGAATCAATAAAAACAAACAAAACATAATCTGAGAGCACATATGGAAAGGAAAATCGTTCGTTGCGTCCCTGTAGTGCAATGGATCACGCGTTGGACTTTTAATACAAAGGTCGTGGGTTCGAATCCCACCTGGGATGGCGTAATTTCTTACAATATGATTCCTCTTTTACAATACTATTTTAATAGAATAATTAAATTTAATGAATGAATAAATAGTGACAAAAACAAAAATAATAGTCCTACACCCCCTATATAGAAAGGAATGGAATTTTGCAAGTAAAATCGCTTTCGATTTTGTCACTTTGTATTGTAATTCTGTCATATGTATATTCATATTTATATTAATCGTAATCATTGGAGAAAAAGTAACTAAAATAATTTTTTTTGTTGACCTAAGTAGGAATTGACTTAAATTTTTTTATATAACTTGTTATTATTGCTTCCATGTGCGAGATAAATAGATAAATTTATTACGTCATCACGAAAAACCTTTTTTATATGTAAAGAGATGAAAAATATAATAATGGCGCAAAATCAATTTTTAGGTAAAAGAGTTCACTATGGTTTTAAGTGAATGAATGATACAGTTAATTTCAAAATATTCCATAATAAAAAAATACATTAAATTCTCTTAAGTGTCATTCGTTATAGATACCTCATCGGAAAATTATTTAAGAATATTTTCTTGCAAATTACAATTTTTCAATCTCATCAAAAAGAAATTCCTAATTGAATTTTTCAGACCTTAACGTGACCTGAATTTTCGAACTCCTAGAGCTCAATCCTCATATTTTCACCAAATGAGAACTGAAGAATGCTAACCTTTTTTTTCGCCTTTTTCTCTTCATTGACAATGCATGGTGAAATTGCAGAACACCGAAAAAGATGAAAGAATTTGTTTACAATGAACGGAAACCCCAGCAGCTCCAGAACAAGGAAATAACTGAGCGAAACGTTCTTAAATCGTTGTTGGAACAGACTGCAAGGTATCGTCTGTAGAAATCGTGAACGACCCATTCCAGAACGTGCGCTGTGTCAGCACCCCAGGGGGGACAAAGCACCAGCACCTATAACATGGAGGAAGATGTTTTAAGTCACGAAACAGGCGAATTGCATGCCTGGGAAAGCCAAATTTTATCATTTATTTTGAGTAATGGATAAATTAAGAGGAATCATCTCGTTTAGAGGAAAAACTTAATGAAGGAATTACAATTTACGTAAAGTAGCCTTCTCATAAATTGCCTCTAAAGTTACACATGTTTTTATTTTTAATAATAATTGTTCTAAATATGTTTTTATTTAAGGAACCCATGACGCGTGATGTCGTGTATTAAGGATAATAAAGTATTGAATAGAAATGTTTTTGTAGAAAAATATACATTTTTGTCAATTTTGGAGTAGTTAAAAAACATTATAGTTTAAAGCAGAGGTCGGCAACCTCGCAGTTGCAGTATTCCAATGATCTACCGATATGATCCAGGATGCAAAGCTGTGTAGGAAATATATATATATATATTTGAAACAATTCTATTCCTCGGCAACAGGGAACAGAGGTCAAGAATATAGATTTAGAGTTTTGTTATTTATTAATTCTGCATCATTTAAAAATATTCATTAACATAAAAATAAAAATAAAATACGATTATTTCTTCAAAGGAAATAAAAAATTTAAAAGCACATATATCATGTATTGTGTATCTTTTAAACATATTTAATAAAATAAAAACACCAAATATAAGTATTCTTCTTCAACATAAATAATTCAAAAAATAAATATTTTAATGCGAGCCTTGTACCTTCTCTCTCTCTCATTACTTTACTTCATATCAAAATATAGGGAGCATAATGTGTGACTTTCAATTTTACATAATTCTGATCCTTTAGTTGTTGAACTAGAACTTTGCGGGCTTTCATATGAAAAGCTTCATTCTCATAGATAAGTAAAACCAGAAGTAGGAAACAGAGTACACGTAAATTTCTTCAAACAGTTAACGATCTCCAGCAATGACATTCAATGAGTTAAAAATAAATTATAGTTTTAAAAAAACTAAAAAACACGTTTTTATAATGAATCGAAGTAAAAAGTAAAAAAATAATTATTAATGTGAGAGTAAAATGATTAAAGAGAAAATGAATGTCATTGTGGTAAAAGCGTGGGGTGCTCTGTATTAATTGTTATAATTTCTTACTAGTTCTATTCCGAAATGTTGAGTTAGTGTAAAAATGTAGTACCAAGCCCACCCCACGCTTTTACCTCAATGACATAATTTTCTCGTTAATCAATTTATTCTTACATTAAGAATTATTTTTTTACTTTTTACTTCGATTCACTATAAAAGCGTGTTTTTTAGTTTTTTTTTTTAAAAAACTATAATTTATGTTTCATTTTTTAGTTCAATCTACAATAAAAGCCTGTTTTTTTATTTTAGTTTTTAAAACTATCTAATATAAAAAATATTTAGCAGTTAGGACATAAATTATTTTTATTCCCATGCACGAGTCATTTTTTTTTATTTCCATTTTCAGAAAAACTACGCACCCACCCACCCTACCTTTTTTCACATAAAGAACACTTTTTCTGTTTTACTTTTTACTAACCAGAAGCCTATTTTGCGGTTTTAGGTTTGCACCTTAATCTTTTAGTTGCTAAATCTGGAATCAGTCGACAAATCTAGAAATAGCATATGGAATTAGTCGCCAAATCTGAAAATGATTTATGCATTTAGTCGTCAAATCTAGAAACGATTTATGAATTAATCGCCAAATCTGAAAGTGGTTTATGCAATTAGTCGTCCAATCTAGAAGCGATAGAAAGAATTAGTCGCCAAATCACGTAAATCCTTAATTATTAAAATCCTGATCAGGACAATGAAACAAAATTATGAAATTATTGTATTGTCATGGGTCCTTGAAAAGTGTGCGAAATTTCGAATTAGTCTGACCTTTTAAAGTGGCTAAAAATTGAGTTCCAAGATTCCATTACATACAGGTGAAACATAAAAAACGTGTTAAAAAAGCTGCCGCTTTAACGTTAGAATTATCTTTCAGATTTTTTTTCGTTGTTCTGTAAGTGCTGCTTTCCATAATTCTGAAGCGGTTCATCTAATAAGCTCTATTTCGAAATTATCAACTTCCGTCCACTCAAAAATTGACAAATGTGTAGAGTAGCGTAGAGCAAGGGTGTAGATTCGAAGGCTGACTCGGGACAAATAAACAAGGTTTAACTTAAGGTGGTCCGCAAAGAAAATCAATATTCATAGAATGCTAGGTTTACTTCGAATAATGCATTATAATAAACATATATAAAAGAACAAGAAAAATTTAATGTTTACGTCCTGACACTTGATATCTCTTCTCTGCTACTATCTTTTCAATTTCCGGAGAAATGTTTAGATCTTATCGCATATAGTTGTGTGCCAATATACTGGCCTGGTTGCACAAATGCTCGTTGTGGGCCACATGCGACCCACGAGTTTGACACTTCTGGTACATAGTGCTACTGAGAATTGTACAGCTTACCATAAGGTGCCGATGCCTGATTTAAGGTATCCGACTACGTTCGGAACCGTAATTTTAAAAAAGCGCATAAATGGATAATTTTCATGATGTTTAGTGTCACTCAGATTAGAATACATGAATAAAATTGTTTTAAGGACATTTTGACAAAAAAAATTTATTTAGATATAATATTTTGGCAAAAATTAACTTGGAATAATCTTTTTTCCAAATGTTCTCCCTTTGTGAAAAATGCTTCTATTATAATAATATTTTGCCTGTATATAGCTTAGACCTCTCTACAGAGGCTCAACTAGAACTTTTGAAAAATTCTCATTATTTTCAGAGTTACCACCCATTGAAATAATTATTCGCGTTTTTTTCTTAAAATTGCTCCCCTCTGTTGTCGTAAAATATGAATAAACCCACTTCTAAAGTATATATTTCAAAAATTCTAGTTGAGCCTCTGAACAGAGGCCCTGAGTTATATACAGGCAAAATATTATTATAATAGAAGCATTTTTCACAGAAGGAGGACATTTGGAAAAAAGATTATTCTAAGTTAATTTTTTGCCAAAATATTGTATTTAAATAAATTTTTTTTCAAAATGTCCTTAAAACAATTTTAAGCATATATTCTAATCTAAGTGACACTAAATATCATGAAAATTATCCATTTATGCGCTTTTGGAAATCACGGTTCCGAACGTAGTCGGATACCTTAAAGGATTAAGTACTTTCGCTAATAAATGTCTAAGAAACATACTGAAGAGGTAAAATAAAAGAGAAATCAAAAAAGAATGCTATAATCATTTATACACCTTCTAAACTATTTTTTACCTTTCAGTGTTTTCTTTTCTTTCAGTAACAGATGATTCCTTACAATTTGTTATTTTGTTGGTTGTCGCATGAGTACAATAAATCTAGCGAAAAAGAGGGACATATCAAGATAACAATTCAAGAAATTTATAGCAAGAAAGAGGAAGCACTTTCGAACAATATTTTATATTTTATTTAAGTCTTATTTACAGTCTTATAACTACTTTCTTCCTTTGAGGAAGTCTGTCTTGTTTACTATTTTCTGCAGTAAAGGGAATCGTTACTGTAATCCTTTTCCGCTGTTGTTATTACAAAAAGCTATAGAAATTTTCTTGTTTTGAGTTTCATTGTATTTTATTTTATTTTTATAGTAATAATTTGTATTGTATAACAGTCAAATTAAAGAAGTTAATAATTGAAGAAGAGGTATAATAAAAAAATTAAATGTAGAAACTAATAAATACAGCGCATATATTCACAGAGAGAATTGGCAAAATATTGTGTACTTTACATTTAAGCAAACGCATGTAAAAAAGTTTTATTTCAAACAAATATTCAAATGATATATATATGATTTTTGGAAATAATGAGCTAATTTCATGAGACGCCATGATAACTGCTATCATGTATTTTTAGTCAATTTGTTCATGTTCTTCGCTGTTGACAACTTTTGTTTTTTTACAGAAATTTCTTTTAAAAATACATATTTGTCAACAATAATAACGCACACAAGTAAACAAAATGCAACTGATTTAAAAATATACGGATAGTATAAGAATTTTTGAAGTGATAACTTCTTTAGGAGCGTTTTGCTGAAGAATGA